GCACAGACTCTAAATCATAATATAAGTTGGTCACAGGGATGGTAGGACAGCATGGAGAATATAGTCAGCGGTTCTGTAACATCTTTCTATGCTGACGGACAGTAACGGCACTAGCTGGCATAAGGATTTAATAACGTGTATGCAGTTGAGTCACTGTGTATACTTGAAGGCAATATGATACTGTATGTCAACTAAACTTCAATCAAAAATAAATAAATAAATAAATAACAGAGGAGTGTTCCAAGGATGGCGTTTCCCATCTCCAGCTTCTCGCCCAAGGAGGTAAGGACCTGAGCTTCCCTCGCTCCTTTGATGCCCAAAGGGCAGCTAAAAAGGCTGTGTTCCCAAGAGGCTGTTACTCAAAGTATCACTCTAACTACAGACACACATGGATGGAATTCCGGAGGCAAGTTGAGTTATATTATATCTGCTTAAAAGGCACTGTCAGGTTTTCCTAAAAGCCTTTATATGAGTCTGAGTTCTATTTTTCACAGTCAAAGCCACTTCTTCCCCCAGTGGGGAAGTATACACAGATACATAAAGTATACACAGACATATTAGTTATCCTGGTTTTTGCTTCTGCCAGAAGCATGACGGCCACCCACTTCCTGTTCAGTTATCCACAGTGCCTTCACGACTTCTCTTCATTTCTCTCACAACATGACAGTCCACTGTGTACATGTGTTTAAATCAATCGCATTCACCAAAGATAAATGGCATCATAAACGGGGAAGTGTACAGAGTACCTGTAGGACTGGAATGACAGGACAGAGAGCCTCAATAAACTTGTTCCAGGTCACCGCTGTCATCACCAATCGTCCCTGCAGCAGGTGCGTCAGAATGGCCCTGGCGGCAGCATTCACCTGCTCAGATAAAGTGATGCGACAAAGTGAGCCAGCCCACCGCATCACCTGACACACCTTTCACGTTTCATAAGATCTGGAAGGGGGCCTAATTAACATCTCTTCTCTCAAATGTTCCTCTTTCCTTTGCATCATCTTATATTCTCTTCTTGACCAGTCCTTCTCTCTCAATGATTTCCATTATTTTTTTTTACCTTTTTTAACTTTTGAAGGTATATTTTTTCACTGACTAAAAATTTCCCTAATTAAATAACTCAATAACCTGTTTACTATGACTACTATATAGTTCTCCACACCTTAGATGAAAAACATAAGTTGTTCTGATTTCGAGTTCTCACATTTTCTTTAATATCTCTTTTTATGCAAATAACACCTCAACTGAACCCATACATCAAAGACAAGTTGCCTTTCAGGTTCTCGTCATATGACTTAGTTATATTAGCATATTTACAGGAGTCTTTTGCACTTTTTCTTAACATGCCATACCTCATTTTTGGGATCTTGAATGCCAAATGCACAGATTTCATACAGGACTTTTGGGTGAAGTAGAAAATGAATTCCATTACAAAGGGAAGACACTGGTTTAGTGACATTATGGACACCTAAACAGTCCTGCAAAATAAAAAAAAATGTTTAAAATTAGTGACACTGACTTTTCCAAAGGATTCCACTTTCTTCTGTTTATAACTCAATTCCAATTTTAGTTTTCACTTCATTGGAACTTTTTTTAACCTAGTAGAAGAGGAAAAAAGATACTCTTGCCTAACAGTTTTTGAGTCTGCATAAGATATGTGTTATGTTATTTTCTGCCAACAAGCAGTCTTGATAAATTAACCAAACCGCTGAGACAAACATAATCTCTTCAAGTTGTTCATGTGATAGACATAAAGGAAATAAACAACATAATAAACTTATCCTAAGGTGTCTGCATTTTGCTTACTGAGATTTGAAAAAGAAAAACAAAATTAGAAAGAAAACAAACTTAGAGCTATGGGGGAAAGAAGGATAACAACATGCAGGATTTTTATCATCAAGACAGCTGTGCACCTGAGTAGAAGCAAAGACTGCACCATCTCTTG